TATGATTCTATGAAAACCAGCTTGTGACAACAGGAAAAGAAAAAGCCAACCTAAAACAAATCAGTCAAACTATTTTAAAACTACTGTAAATGGAGCCTTCAAAATTTTCTGAAGTAAACTAAAACCAGTTAGAAACATATAACATTAGAAATACAGATATTAAAAATAAAAACACTTCCCAGAAAGACTTACCATAAATATTAGAACCCAGAGATTTGATAGGGGTCTCCTATATGAAGGAGGAAGAGGGGAATACCTGCATTAAAAATCAATGTAATAAAATCCATAAAATAGATTTTAATAGTGATTTTAGCAGAAAAAGACTTGATAAATGTCAGTGCCACATGGTGTTTTGGAAAGAGATAGGGAGAAGCAGACAGGGGCAAGACTGAGAGTCCCCAAGGGCAGCAACGTGTTTAGCAGTTGAGCAGACATTTCACAGCTGCAGCAAGCCCGTCAGAGGTGAGCAGCTAAAGAAGAGTGCTGCCCGCAGAGTGAGTTCTATTTTCTGGGAAGCGCCACTCAAAAAGCATATATGGTGTCCTTAAATGACACTACACTTCCATTGAACTTATGAGTGGAGTTGCAGCACATACAATCACATAGGGTACACTGAAGTCAATGACAAAACTTATTGATGTCAGTAGTGCCAACAATTCACTCAGGATAAAAATTCCCTACGGTTCAGGAACATGGGAATTACCATATCAGAGCAAAACAGTTGTCTGTGTACTCTGCTATCCTCTCTTCAACCATGGGACAATAATAGATGCTTCGGAGGAGGAAGGCTTCCAGTCCCGTGATGCACCTAATTGTACACTACCTATGTCTCTAGCATAGATGAGCAGTTTATGCCCTGGATAAGAATTGAGAACACTTGCAATTGTATCCTAGCACATACTACTCTCACTTGTGTAAATGTCAACCCCTTTTGAATCTTAGTAAGCTATTTGCTTCAATACCATGCTGCAGCAGCAAGTGCCTCAGGTTTATTCTACAGTGTATACATTTTTTTTAGCATTTTTAAATGTTACCTTTTTATCTCCCTGAGTGCCTTCACATTGCTATATTATGAAAGAGGGAAACAGGAACATAAAATGGCCTCAAGCAAACTATGCTTTAAAAGCAAACAAACAATTGTGCTAGTTTTTCCATTGTGAAAGATGCCAGACTGAAAGCCATGGAAATCGAAGCCCTCTATTTATACATGAACCAGCTACACCACTAACAGCAGCAACACAAATTTCCTGATTGCCCAATGTACCTCCGCTCTTGTCTACAGGGAGCATGCTTCTGTGAGGATAATTAAGTCTCCATAACCACTTAGTCTTTAACCTCATTCCCAATCCCCTGAGCTATTCAGTTCTTCTTTCTTTAAAGACATCTCTTTTGACACTTCTCCCTTCCTAACACTAAATATTTTCAAGAGGAATAATGCATAACTGGCTTTTAGGATGCTCTGACCCTAATTATTAAGGCTAAGTTTTTGTCACGGTAATTTGTAATAAAAGTCAGACAGGTCACGGGCAACAAACAAAAATTCACAGAGCCCGTGACCTGTCTGTGACTTTTACTAAAAATGACTGGGGTGAGGGCTAAGTAGGGGTGGAAGAACAGAGTCTGGAGGGGTGGGACCAACAGGCCGAGCCCCCCGCCTCCAGCGGCCACAGCGGAGGACCCAGCCACAGGGGCACACATTCCCTGCTCTGGAGCTGGCTGTAGCTGCGGGACATGAGTGTGTGGCCCCGGCTGCAGCCCCCACCAAGCTCTGGCAGCAGCACTGGGAAGCCATGAGGGGGATACACAGTCCCCGCTGAGCTGCCGAGCAGGGGCACGTGGCCCCCACTGCAGTCCCCAGCGGAAGCTGCGGGGCTAGGGTGCAGCCACGGGGGGCGCGCAGCCCCCATTCCGGAGCTGGCTGCACCAGCTGCAGCCCCCTCCAAGCTCTGGCTGCATCCCTGGGAAGCCACAGGGGGGCACATGGCCCCCACTGCAGCCACCAGGCAGGTGCGCAGGGCCCCAGCTGCAGCCCCCGGCCGAAGCTGCAGGACTCGGACATGGGCGGGGGGGGGGGAGGGTGCAGCCACGGGGGGTGTGCAGCCTCCGCTCCAAAGCTGGCCGCAGCTGTGGGACAGGGCTGCGCTGCCACGGCTGCAGCCCCTGCCAAGCCCCGGCTACAGCAGGGAGAAGCAGCAAGGCCCTCGGACACTGCGAGGGGGGCACATGGCCCCCGATGCAGCCCCTGGCGGAAGCCGTGAAGCTGGGATGCAGCGGGGGTGCAGCCACAGGGAGCACACAGCTCCCGCTCTGGAGCTGGCCACAGCTCCTGGACAGAGGCTCACAACCCAGCTGCAGCCCCCTCCCCCTCCAAGCCCCAGGGCAGGGGCTGCACGGTATCAGTTCCAGCTATCCAGCCCCAGTTGCAGGGCAGGGGTACACAGTCCTGCCTCCAGCCCCGGCATCAGCTGCTGACAGCTGAAGCAGAAGAAGACACGGGGGTCCGGTAAAGTCACGGATTCTGTGACTAAATCGTAGCCTCACTAATTATTTGATGTCCTTGGTAGCCACATTTATCGCAGACTCTGTTCCCTTCCTCAAATCAGAAGGGATGATTTAGCTAGACTTCAGTCAATGACAATACAGAAGCAAGAGTGAAGAAAATAGGCTCACTGCAGCATACCTGTGAGGAAGTCAATAGCCTGACACCACCTCCAGAATGAAACAGTCCTTCAGAGATGTGATGGGAAAATGATGCAGTTTCTTTGACTGGCAGACTGCTTTCCTGCTGAGCTAGAGAAATTAACAGGAGAGGCATAATAAACAAATTTGTGAAAGCAAGAGAAACAGCTCAGCACAAACTAACCTCCTTAATAAGGGAAACATGGAGAGGCACCTAGCAAGAGATGCTTAAAACACAAACGTACAGAAATTCCACCAAGGGGATAAGAAGCCTGAAAGGTGAAGTCAGTAGGGGGACAGGACTGTCCAGCTTCTCCCAGAATTGGTTCTAGATAACTGTCTAAATGAAACATTGTGCCCTTTCAGCATGCAAATTCCTAACCTACAGATCCTAAATGAAATAAGCTTAATAGCTACGGCACAGACTCTACCGGAGAGTGAACCACAGATAACATACATGCATGTGCACCCACTCATTTAGCCTGCCACCTATCAACAAATCCCTGCCTCCTGTGCAGGTCAATATACAGCACTTCTAGAGCGCTGTTTATCCACTCACCATAAAGCTCTATCCAACGGTGGGTCAGCCTTGTTACCTCCATTTCACAGATGTGAAAACTGAGGCACAGAGAGGTGAAGTGACTTTCTCACAGTCATACAGCAGAGTCAGTGGCAGAGTCAGGGACAGAAGAAAGGTTTCCAGACTTCCAATCCCATGCCCCATCCACTGGACCGCTTTGCCTGGCCACAGCCATTTTGGAGCTACTATGTATATTCTTACAGTACTGCTGCTAGCAGGTAGCAAAAACTAGAGGCGGCAAAGCAGAGCTCATATGCAAAGACCACAAGTGCCCCAGTTTTAGTCTCAGGGGTAGCAATGCATGTGGAGGACACATACAGCAGCTCCAGCTACCAGACACAGCAACTAGTTGAATCTGTTCTAGTAAATGTGCTGGCATGCAGGGCCGGCTCCAGGTTTTCTGCCGCCCCAAGCAGGGGAAAAAAAAAAGCTGCAGCAGCGCAATCGCGCCGCTCCACTCTTCAACGGCAATTCGGCGGCAGGTCCTTCGTTCCGAGAGGGACTGAGGGACCTGCTGCCGAATTGCCGCCGAAGACCCGGCCGTGCCACCCCTTGATATTGGCCACCCCAAGCACCTGCTTCCTTAGCTGGTGCCTGGAGCCAGCCCTGCTGGCATGCACAGCAGCCCTCTCAGAATTCTCACCTCTTTCCATTTTGTATTTGTTTACTGTTTTCAGGAGATCAGGTGAAATGTCCATACAGATTTTCTCCAGTATTTGCAGGTTGTTCTGTGCTAAATGGTCTTGTTTTTCCAGAAAGGTCAGCAGCTCTAGACTGGACTGCCAGTGAAACAGGAGAGACAGTGTCAAGTGCACTTAACCTGCTCCTTAAATCTTAATACGATCTACAAAAGCCTGCCCTGCCTTTAAAAAAAATAACAAGACACCGATTCTCCTGGAGTACATATTGCTGAAATACAGAACACCTCACAATCCTTACACTTCCCACTTCATACTTATTCTTATCTGTCTGGCTTCTTACTTCCAAGGAGATGTCTCCATAGTACATTTCACAGCGCTGGGGGGCAAACCATGTTGTAACATGGTAGCTCACGGACAGCTTCATAATCTGGTTTGATCCTGCTTGTATAGCCAGTACCACACTGTATCAGTGAACTACGTTATAGTCTGTATCACAATCAAGTAACTAGTTAATGTCGTGTGTCTTGGTCCCATATACACAGACCAGAGCCAGCTGTGCTGTAACACAGCTGGGGGGATTAGCCTGGTATTGTATTTCCTACTGACCTCTAGGACTTGAAAGGCCTCAGAATCCATCACACAGCAAACCCAAGAGGGAGCCAATGCAGCATAACAGTCCTTGGTGTAAATGAGACCCAGGCCCTGCACTTCCTAGCCCCACTCAGCCACCACCTTCCCTCAGGTAGAAATAAACCACTGCCCAAACAGCTACTGCCCCAGTCACAGGCTGACACAATCAGCTGATGCCTTATGCTGGCAAAACCCTCTCTCCATTCTCTCTCCTAGTCTCACTAATCAGAGCCTCTAACATTCTTCGCCCTCTCACCACATACCATATTTGTCAGCTTCTTTGGGAGCTGGTCCCTCAAGAGGAACATGGCTCTTTTTAAATCCTCACTGGTGATGTCCTCTGACAGTTCATACAGCATCTGCCTGTGTGACATAGATCCAGTTAGGTGAACTAAATACCATTGTAAACATACTGTAAATCCTACATTGGCACCCCATAACCCCCCAAAGCAATGCTCAGAGGATGGTAATGTGCCCACTATTGGGAGCTCTGCTATGCTCCTCCAATGCTGCCACCTGCTTCACCTGTAGCAGACGTGGGGATCTCTACTTAGCCTGCTCAGCAAAGGTCAACATGCAGCAGGCAGACTGCAGGCATCGCTGGAGAGCTAGAGCTGGCGTAGTAGAGCATGAGCAGCAGCCAAGCGTTATGGTCAGGAACTTACCACTGGTGTAAGCAAATTAATATGGAAGAGCGGAGGAAGTTTAGGTTGTCGTAGGAGGAAGAGGCTATAAAAACATCCCAATCCAACCCAAGAATTCACAGGGGGAGAGGGACAGAGCAAAGGAGGAAGAGACAGCAGTAGAAAGCTATGGGAGAGGAATGACAGTCTGTGGCACACTGTGTCACTCCTCTCCTCTGGCACAACATAACAGAAGAGGACCCAGGCCTTTCTAATGTGGTGTTGGCCCAAGAATGCTCTGAGCTTTCCAGCCTCACCCCAAGAAAAATTATTAAAATATTACTAGTCTGAGCACCTGCATACTGTAAAACCTAATCACCAAACTTCACTTCACAACTTTCAAATATCACACAGCAAGTAACAGATCAACATCCTTTCAAGGCAGAAAATGTCTGGAGACACCCAGTTCCCAGAAAGCTCACCTGTACCGAGATACCTTCCCTTTCCAGGGTAGATTTTCTTGCACGGTTTCCTTGGTGTAGCCAAGTTTCTGGAGCAGGAAGTGACACCTAATCCTGTACAAAAGCTCAGCTAGTATGAAAGTATCTTCCTTATTCAGCAAATCCTTAGCCATGAGGAGCTGGAAGATGTCCTGAGCTGATTCTACAGCTTCCAGGTTTTTGAAGGAGAGCAAGTCACTACAGAGAAATTTCAGGGCCTCCACTTCTTCAGTTCCCAGGTTTTCATCGATGACTAGAAGCTGCTGGCGAAACTTTATGTCATCACCCATACTGGAGGCTTTCTTTAGGAGACACTTTACAACCTGAGAATGGAAAGGAAAAGAAGAGTCCAATGTAATGAATCAAATGGCACTGGTGCTAGGGGAGAACTGAAATTTAGCTTCTAATAGGCACTAAGCAGCATCCTTGATACTCTGTGTTGGCCAAATATTTCTTCCAAACCATCAGAAGCCAAATACTCAGCAGACGGCCTAACTCCTTCCTGCATGCACCACACTGCAGCAGTGTGGCAAGATCTGCTCTTTCCTCTTCTCGTGATCAGGAGAGAGAAGAGTCCCCCACTGATCACTCACTCTCACTTCTGAACCATGGGCAGCTCCAGTGTCTTTACAATGGGTGGGGGTAGAAAGAGAACAAGGTGCTGCTCTTGGTCCCTGCAGCTTGACTACAACTTGCCATGGCTGGGAGAGGACAAAAAAGTGAGACTTCCTCCTGCCCTGGGGCTTCCATCATGGGAGCTCTGCCACCACTTCCCATGATGAGGAGGAGGAGAAGGTGCTCCTCCCCAAGGCTGGCACTTGGACTAGGTGAGCAAGGGTGGCACCAAACTGTGGTGCTGTGTGGCTTTGGGGGGGGGGGGGGCGTCAACCACTGGGGGGTGAGGGGGGCACTGAAAATGTTTTCTGCCCAGGTGCCAAAATGGCTGCTCTCCTTGCCCCTAGGTTGAAAAACACCAGCAGTGACATTATCACCTGGAAGCCAAAGTTCTCAGCACTGTGGCAGCTGTAGAGTGCACATCCCATCCCCTGCACCACTCTGCAGCTAGTTTGCTGTTCTGTACCAAATGTGAAAGCAAAGAGTCTCCTTCCTACTCTCAAACCTCCCTTATGAAAAAGTCCTATAGAATTTAATAGGAGTGAAACTAACAGGGTTCTAGAGAAATTAATACAATTCTCTTACATTTAAGGGAGAATAATATGCTTTCTGCTTCACTGCCAGCTCCCTTCTCTCCTGGACATGTTGGGGTTCCTCAGTGGACCACTCACTTTAATTTGGCAGCAGGTCGTCTTTAGGACTTTTACAACAGCTCTCTTCATACAAAGACAAAAGGAAAAATGGGAGATGATCAATGAACACTAAAACTTGGGAGGCAGTCAGCAGGTAAAGGGGGGTGTGCATGTTTCGGGGAGAAATCAGCAGGGCATTGCCATGTGTGTAGGTGGGTGGGAAATATAATTCATGAGTCCTGGTCCATCTCCCCGCTAACCACTAAACAACACTTCCCAGAGCCAGAATAGAAACAAAGTGTTCCGCCTACCCTTTCTCTCCCATGTCTACCTACATACCCCTCCCCCCCCCCAAATTTTGCTTACATCCTTTTCCTCTTCAGACAGTCCAACTCCCCCAATCTTCTGTCCCACATATTGCAGCACCCTCTTCACTTATAAACAAGATGGCTGCAAGAAAGCATAGATCCATGGCCTTTCTACACACACAAGTTTACCTAAGGACTTGTTTTTAACTAAGGACAGCAAGAGGGCCAGCACCACAAGCATGATCCTATCAGAGACCCTAGGCAGTAATCAGGGCAGCAAGCCCCTCCTACCACTGGCACTGTCTGTTCTGGCTACACTACTATTTTTACTGCACTAGCTAGAGAGCTAAAGCAGGTACATCTCCTCTAGCTGGGAAGCACATCCCCAGCTCCAAGTGCAGATCTATCAATTAAAAGGGGCAAATTTGTGCACAGACCAGCCCTCAGTCATCACTTAGATTCATAGATTATAGGACTGGAAGGGACC